GATGATGTGAACAACAGTGATGGTAAAGCAAGCTTAAAACGGCAGAAATCGCCAGAAAATACAATGGATACACAGGGTATGAGTAAGTTTTATTGACTTTACGAGAAAAATGTTCATATTTCGAAATATGTATCGTTGTAAATCGACCATACTTCGTTCCCTGTGCTATTCCTTATAACGTGCAGTTCCTCTCGTAACTTAACACCGAGTCACACAACGCGTGACGCGTTCATAAATTAATCGTTGGCTTTTTCTCGAGACGTGAGCTTGGGCCGCTTGTGACAAGACAATTGCGTAAACAATATTTAACATAACAACATTATACACAAAAAAACACAGGGTTTTGGATCACGTATTTATTAAAAAGAATACCCATACAACAACAATGAAAACAAACGTAAGATTCACCTTTCTGATCGTGAAATTAATACCATTCGTACTGTTATCGTAGCTACGTTCCTTGCCATCAAGTGAATCCAACATGTCGTCTTTCTTCACAAGCAGTTTGCATCCCTTATAGCTATGTTCTTCAGTCTCACGGTAGTAGCGTTGTTCAATAGATTGCATAGAGTATATGACAACTAAGACATTGGCATACTTAGCATACAAGGCATTCAAGGCTTTCATGGCTTTCAAGCGTTCGCGACTCAATCCGTTCCAAAATTACCGCTCAATAACATCTTTCAGTGTGGATTAGCCGCGATTAATACGACTTGTATATGCGTCTGTAAGTATTTTGCGCGTTTGCGCTATAATGCTCCAGAAGATCGCAATCCAAATACGTTGAAATACAAAATAACTGACCTAAGAGTTTTATAAGCAAAATCTCGTGTTTGTCATGTGACCCGGCCCTGTCTGTGCATGACAACGTCAATCATCATCAAGATAACACGCGTGATCAGCATGTGAACACCTCATTGGATCACAGTTAGTTGTCATGGAGTTGAGGGATAACACGCGTGATCAGTATGTGAACACCTCATTGGATCACAGTTAGTTGTCATGGTATTGAGGGCCCAATGACCTCTGGGTACTATTGCGCAATTTTTCCATTTTGTGGCGGAGGAAAAAAAAAAAAAAACTAGACCCTGTGAGCAGGGTAACTGGGATACCTGGATGGTACTGGATCCTTGGAATCAAGTGTAGTGATACTACGGGTGTCGGACTAGTATACTGAAATAGTGCGCTCAAGTCTAGCCAAGGGCATACACCTATTTCAAAACATAGGCATGCTATGCGTGCAAGAGTTCCTTTTTTGTAGGGTGGGTGGATTACTTGAAACATTGTGAGTGATGTCTACATTCTTACAAAAGGAGAGAAGAATATTAATGTGGGAAAGAACGAAAATGTCGAATTACCTCACTCACAGGTATTTTGTGGTAGATTATGTGTGTTTTGCGAATAAATGTAACCAAAAATAAACTGTATTGGTGCCACGGATACCTGTTAGTACAAAATGCAGACAGCAGACTGCAGACCGGATACAAAATATAGACTGCAGACTGCAGAGTGGGTACAAAATGCAGACTAAGAATATGAAGAGTTTTTACGTCTGGTATATAATAACATGTCATCTTACAGCTTACCGAGCGTCACGCAATCGCTTTTCTGCAATCCGCCTTCACGATTATTTGCACTATTGTGGAATATTCCTGGCCCATTTCTTGATGAAAATCGATCGCAATATTATTTCAAGCCTTCAATATATTCTTCTTACTTTGCGCGCGAGTTGATTGGTGTGATGTCTGTACAGATTTTATCAACGTAATAAAAGTAGATGATGTGAAGAACAGTGATGGTAAAGCAAGCTTAAAACGGTAGAAATCGCCAGAAAATACAACGGATACACAGGGTATGAGTAAGTTTTATTGATTTTACGAGAAAAATGTTCCTATTTCGAAATATGTATCGTTGTAAATCGACCATACTTCGTTCCATGGACTATTCCTTATAACGTGCAGTTCCTCTCGTAACTTAACACCGAGTCACACAACGCGTGACGCGTTCATGAATTAATCCTTGGCTTTTTCTCGAGACGTGAGCTCGGGCCGCTTGTGACAAGACAATTGCGTAAACAATATTTAACATAACAACATTATACACAAAAAAACACAGGGTTTTGGATCACGTATTTATTAAAAAAGAATATCCATACAACTACAATGAAAACAAACATAAGATTCACCTTTCTGATCGTGAAATTAATACCATTCGTACTGTTATCGTAGCTACGTTCCTTGCCATCAAGTGAATCCAACATGTCGTCTTTCTTCACAAGCAGTTTGCATCCCATATAGTTATGTTCTTCAGTCTCACGGTAGTAGCGTTGTTCAATAGATTGCATAGAGTATGTGCAGTTTGGTTTCAGATTTCAGATTTTGCTTTTGACAACAAGTGAACGTTTTTCAACTAACAAATTGGCATACTTAGCATACAAGGCATTTAAGGCTTTCATGGCTTTCAAGCGTTCGCGACTCAATCCGTTCCAAAATTACCGCTCAATAACATCTTTCAGTGTGGATTAGCCGCGATTAATACGACTTGTATATGCGTCTGTAAGTATTTTGCGCGTTTGCGCTATAATGCTCCAGGAGATCGCAATCCAAATACGTTGAAATACAAAACATCTGACCAAAGAGTTTTATAAGCAAAATCTCGTGTCTGTCATGTGACCCGGCCCTGTCTGTGCATGACAACGTCAATCATCATCAAGATAATACGCGTGATCAGCATGTGAACACCTCATTGGATCACAGTTAGTTGTCATGGTGTTGAGGGATAACACGCGTGATCAGTATGTGTACACCTCATTGGATCACAGTTAGTTGTCATGGTGTTGAGGGATAACACGCGTGATCAGTATGTGAACACCTCATTGGATCACAGTTAGTTGTCATGGTGTTGAGGGCCCAATGACCTCTGGGTACTATTGCGCAATTTTTCCATTTTGTGGCGGAGGAAAAAAACAAAAAAAAAAAAAAAAAAACTAGACCCTGTGAGCAGGGTAACTGGGATACCTGGATGGTACTGGATCCGTGGAATCAAGTGTAGTGATACTACGCGTGTCGGACTAGTATACTGAAATAGTGAGCTCAAGTCTGGCCAAGGGCATACACCTGTCTCAAAACATAGGCATGCTAGTTATTTTTTGTAGGGTGGGTGGATTACTTCGGAAACATTGTAAGTGGTCTACATTCTTACAAAAGGAAAGAAGATTATTAACGCGGGAAAGAATGAAAATGTCGAATTACCTCACACACAGGTATTTTGTGGTAGATTATGTGTGTTGTGCGAATAAATGTAACCAAAAATAAACTGTATTGGTGCCAAGGATACCTGTTAGTACAAAATGTAGACAGCAGACTGCAGACCGGATACAAAATATAGACTGCAGAGTGGGTACAAAATGCAGACTGAGAATCTGAAGAGTTTTTACGTCTGGTATATAATAACATGTCATCTTCCAGCTTACCGAGCGTCACGCAATCGCTTTTCCGCGATCAGCCTTCACGATTTTTTGCACTATTGTGGAAAATTCCTGACCCATTTCTTGATGAAAATCGATCGTAATATAATTTCAAGCCTTCAACATAGTTGGTTGGTGTGATGTCTGTACAGATTTTACCAATGTAATAAAAGTAGATGACGTGAATAATAGTGATGGTAAAGCAAGCTTAAAACGACAACAATCGCCAGAAACTACAACGGATACACAGGGTATGATTAAGTTTTATTGATTTTACGAGAAAAATCTTCATATTTCGAAATATTTATCGTTGTAAATCGACCATATTTCGTTCCCTATACTATTCCTTATAACGTGTTCAAATTTTCAACGGTTCCTAGCATAACTTACTCTGAGTCACACAATCGAAAAATAATCGTTGGCTCTTTCTCGAGACGTGACCTTGGGTTGCCTGACAAGACAATTGCGTAAACAATACTTAACATAATAACATTATACACAAAAAACACGGGATTTTGGATCATGTATTTATTAAAAAAGAATATCCATACAACTACAATGAAAACAAACATAAGATTCACCTTTCTGATCGTGAAATTAATACCATTCGCACTGTTATCGTAGCTACGTTCCCTGGCATCAAGTGAATCCAACATGACATGTTTCTTCACTAGCAGTTTGCATCCATTTGAATTTTGTTCTTCAGTCTCACGGTAGTAGTGTTGTTCAATAGATTGCATAGAGTATATGCAGTTTGGTTTCAGATTTCAGATTTTGCTTTTTACAACGAGTTTACGTTTTCAACTAAGACATTGGCATACTTGGCATACAAGACATACAAGGCATTCAATGCTTTCATGGCTTTCAAGCGTTCGCGATTCTGTCCGATCCAAAATTACCGCTCAATAACATCTTTTTGTGTGGATTGGCCGCGAACAATACGACTTGTGTATGCGTCTATAAGTATTTTGAGCGTTTGCCCCATAATGCTCCAGATGATCGTAATCCAATTACGTTGAAATACAAAACGACTGACAAAATAGTTTTATAGGCAAAAATCTCGTGTTCGTCATGTGACCCGGCCCTGTCCGTGCATGACAACGTCAATCATCATCAAGATAGCACGCGTGATCAGCATGTGAACACCTCATTGGATCACAATTAGTTGTCATGGTGCTGAGGGCCCAATGACCTCTGGGTACTATTGCGCAATTTTTCCATTTTGTGGCGGAGGAAAAAAAAAGACAAAAAAACAAAGGCATTTTATGACTGGGCTACCACAGGTATCCCAGTAAAAAAGACGACAAAAAAACAAAGGCATTTTATGACTGGGCTACCACAGGTATCCCAGTAAAAAAGACAAAAAAACAAAGGCATTTTATGACTGGGCTACCACAGGTATCCCAGTAAAAAAAAAAAAACGTTTTCTTGTTCAGACACATTGAATATCGCCTTTTGAAGGTCAGCGGTGAACGTCACAACTACTCTTTCCTCGAACGTGAAGCCACCTTCAATATTCTTCAGCCGTTTAAAGATGTTGAGAAAGTGGAAAGTGATTGGAAGCTTTTGCGTTGCAGTTTTTCTGTTTGGTTTGGCCTGTTTCACCTATTTGGGTACATTACAGGACGATGAATATAAATATAACGATGATACGTTACCTCAAATAAGTTTATCGTTCTCAAACAGTCCGGACGTGGTTTGTCCTTTAACAGACGTTCAGACGACAGATCTTAAAGCCCCTTCACTGTTATCTTTTTTGAGGGCATCAACAGCAGAGGGAAACCAAGATCTCACTTTCAGTGGCTTGGTAGTAGTTTCAAAAATGGCCAATGTTTGTCACCCGTTAGTTGATGTAGGGCAGGCAAGAGTTCAAGTCAACAAAATTGCGCTCATCACGATGAAGAAGGAATGTTCGTTGTGCGAGCTGGCAGCTAAAGCGCAGCACGCTGGATACTCCATGGTGATATTTCATTTCTCATCATGGCTGACCAAGAGAAATTGTAGCGTAAAAACTGCGGCTAAGCTGTTGATCCCTGTTGTTTATGGCGACAATTGTCAAAATTTTTCGTATACCGTATACGACTTGGATACTTTATTTTCAACCGTAGACCAAACAGATATCCATGTAAGAGTTTCATTTATGTCATATCATCTGAAAAAGATGGCAAAGTATTTGAGTAATCTATATTTTTGGTTTCTTTTGGGTCCAATTATCACTATGGTATGGCTCCGACGAAAGAAGATACTCTGTCGCGTGACAACAACGCGACAAATCGACGAGGAGTCTGGTGACGAGGAAATAGTTGAGGTGGGTCGTGGACACTCTATCCAACGAGATCTTATCTTTACGAATCACGCTGAGACTAGTTCAATCACAGTGCGTGTGGCGAGGATATTTGGAAGAAGTACTCGCTGCCTCGCAATTGGTTTTGGTTATGTGATTCTCACTCTAGCAGCGCTCCCTGTAGGTATCTCAAGTGGAGGATGGTCTTTTTTCCGATTTGATGAACAAGAAAGATTTCGGCAAAAAACTTTCTGGGATGTTCTTATACCAGAAAATACGACTACCGTACAAGGAGATAATTTTAACTATACCAAGACAATCGCGACAGGCGCTTCGATAGCAGCAGTTGTCAATTCGTGCTGGTCAGTTGTACGAGTATTTTGGTTTTTTATGTACAGTGCGTTTGCCTGTAAGAGAACCTGGACCGTTTCGACGAACCCTTCAAAGTTGATTCGGAGCGATTGGTTTTCATCCAACATGTATTTACTCGTTTTGTGCTTCGTTGTACCATACTGTTCTCTCAACCTGCAGAACCCATTATTTGAAGGTTTTTTTCTTGACAAGTTTTTATATTTTATGCTTTACAATGTAACTTGCACAGTTTGTAATTTTCTTTTTATAATCATCCTCAACAAACACAAAGTTGTCACAAGGTATGTGTTCTACATCAGTGTGTGTATGATCTGTGCTTATGCTGAAAGTGACATAGTAGCTGTGTTTTATTTCATTCTCAATTCTCAAGGCTCCCTCAATAAAGTAAAACTCACTGCCCTTCGCACTGTAGCACTTGGCCTCACTTTGACTCTGAGTTTCAGTTCTTCAATGCACATAATCCGCAAACTTATGAAACCACAGGAGTCTGTGTTTGAGGGACTGTCAGAGAGGTGAGTTCAATGGTTTTGGATTGGGTAAGCAGCATCTCTTGCCATCTTCCTTCGATATCAGTTTTACACAATCTGCGTGACAAATATTAATGGGAGCTAAATGAAAAATTTCATAATAATCTGGAATTTGATTGGGTTTTCCATAAAATAGGACTTGGCCGTGTTTTAGAGTGGTGTTATGCCGCTTTTCTACAGCCTTGTGAAATAAAGAACTTTGACATTAGGGGGTTTAACAAAAACACAGCGGCTACAGAGCGGGAACGTCACTTAACAAAAGGTTTCATGAGTAGAACAGTCGTACACGTGCGTTATAAATCTTTGTAAATTTCTTCGCGTCCTTTGCAAAACAACAATGTGAAGTGACCAAACTTTGCCTTGAATTGTTAGCTTTTGACTATAAATCTTAATAATCTAGCAATGTGTCGTTTATTCTAAGTAATGATTAACCCTTTGCGTACCAAGTGGCCATATATGGCCACTTAAATACAGACCCCATTCGGGCGGCCTGAAAAGAGCACTTTGAGGGGCTGGAAACTAATACTACATTTCAATGTAAATTACATAAAGTCGTTAATTAGTTTTTTCGAGGATTTCTTCCATCGAGCTTGTTTTTGGGCGAATTTTGAAGCTTTTTGTGATTTAGACGTTTTGAACGGGGAGATTTAAAAATGGCGGCTCTTGAAGGTGATGCTGAACTACATTTCGACGATCAAAACAATGTTGAAATTCAATTTATCGACGAAGAAGACTTGCCTTTAGCGAATTTCATCGAGCATCGAGCCTCTGATGAGGAATTTTACTCTAGTGCATCGGAATCAAGCTCTGACGATTCTAGCGAAGAATGTGGTTAATGTGAGAGCATAGTTTTGTGCAAGTGTGGTACATAACTATTGGCTATATAACCGATAAAGAAACTGTTTGCATCTTTTGAATATTTCTTATTTCATTTATATTTTACTCAATTTTTACTTTATGAAAGGCAATTATTAATCTGTCTTAAATTCTCTAAAAGGAGGGTTATTGCCCTAATTAATATTTCTTACCTTTTGAAATTGTGTTAAAAGGTGATTAGAATTTCCAGTAAGAAACGAAAAGTTGGAATTGTTTGTTTAGAGCTGGTGATTTCAAAGTTCCTTTAGAAATTTGCATAATTATGCAAATTATGCTTATTGTGACGTCACAATTTTGACATGTGTCAATTTCTATAATTGTTGTGAAAGTATATTTTTAATGCACTTCCCAAATATATATAGTTTTATAGGGTTTTGTTGTAAAGAGCAGGCTTGACAAGCATTCTTGTATAATGTACTCATTTTTGTGACAAATAAATACCACCCCCCTTGGTATACAAAGGGTTAAATTACAATTTGTGGAAAATCATTAAGAGCTTAATAATTAGGCTATTTAAGTCAAACAATCTATCTTTGTTTATTCTGGTGTAACCAAAAGAAGTGTCGTTTAGTTTTCCTGAAATAAAAGACAAATGCCTCAAAAAATCTTTAAAGCTGGTTTGGAACCTTGTTCTTCATCAATAATCAAACATTTTGAATCAGTAATTTTTTTCCTAGCTATTAACAAGTTGATTAAGTTGAAAACATTATAGGAATATTATGTGTTGGAATCGTTAGAAATGGTGCTTGGGACGAAACTGTGTCTTATAATAATTTTATTTTTCTTTATTTACATGATATATGTGTATGTTTTATATGATATCAATGCTCACCATCTAAATAACTGGTATAGGTAATTTTGGTAGGATATACATAGGATATGTAAACTTGGTATCATATGATAGCTCTGTTTGGATTTTTCATCATTTCACCGAACTGTGAATTTGAAATCCGTGAAATCACACATTTACAAAGTTCGGCTTTCAGTCAAAAAATGTATCTTTGTTTATTTTGACGTAATTAAAAGTTGTGTGCTCCGCTGTCTGTTCTGATACAATTTATTGCACTCCCACCCTTACTGAGTTTTGTTTATGTCTTCAGCTGACGTGAAACATCAAGTGCCAAAACATCTACCATTTCAAGTTTCCAGTCTTTGATATAATGGCTCTTGATTAGTTTCCATGAACTATTTTCTGCTGATATAATACCCCAAGAGTAGGCATAATGGTGGCTTTGAGGACATGTGACTAACAACCGAATATAACCTTGTTATTAAAGCTGACGTGCGAGTTAAAAAAGTTGAAAACATGTTTCACGTGAGAGAAGGTGGAAAAAGGAATTCGAAAGAGAGAATTCGGGAGAACTACTTCAAAATGCTATCTGATAACAAACATCTCTTGAACACAATGTTGATATTTTCCAGTTGAACAGTCGTGTAGATAATAATAAAACATCGGACATGTCGGATAATCCAAATTTCAAGAGGCTGCTTTTATAATATACCGAACACAGAATCGTAGCCTTTAAATACTCAAGAGCCTTTGAATACTCAAAAGATACTTTACAGTTTTAATTTCAGCTTCAATACTAAGATTCTACTTAGAGTCAGATAATTGAAATAAAGTGTCACGCATTCTGTTAGCACAGAAAAGCAAGGAGCGGCTTTGTACACATGTCGAGAAATAGTTTTGTGACAGTTGGCTGCTTCTGCTCTCCATGTTAACCACCTCTCAATATAGTTCGGTTGGATAACCAGCGATTTCTAGCTTTAACAAAGGAAGTATGTTTCTAGAGAAACTGTAGCGCTGGCGGTGGAAAGGTATAACAGGGTAATTTAGTATTATCTAATTTAGTATTATGAAGAGCTAACGCTCGAAACGTCCGCTTTTAAACTCTTTACAGTGGCCGATTTACGTTATCAGCTCAGTTGATTTTACTAAATTACCCTGATTTCCATTTGTATTTACCTCGAGATGGTCCTCGAGACAGCATATGTCTGTTGCAGAGATGACTCTGAGGAACAAAGTGCTTATTCCATTCGTGTTCGTATTGCTTAGGAGCTAGTGTTTCTTCGATGGTCAGATCGAAAAAGGCTTGCCTTTGTCGATGATTCATATATCTTGAGAAGGCAGACCTAACTTAGCTTTCCGAAAGATTGAATGAACTGAGCAAAATGGGTTTGTACCTCAAGAGCCTGGACTTTACTATATACGGCTCTGGGAGCTTCGAAACCGATAAGATTCCACGGTCCGATTATGGATACAAGTATTTGAAAGGTAGGATTGAATTTAACTTTCGAATCATGTATGAAGCATTTGTATCTGACTGTTTTGTTCGGTCAAACAACCTAAATTGAGACAGTGTAGTTTATAAATATTTACGGTAAGAGGTCATTTATTTAAGAACTTAAAACACCGCAAGAATGTACAATTGATACTATCTTAAAGTTTCTTGTGTCTAAGAGTAGCAATTCTTCCTAAAGAATAGGGGATTTAAATATTTTGACTAGCCGCAGAGTACGGAACTTTAATTCTGAACGATTCTTGGCGACTAGTTAAATAAAGATCTGTATGACTGACGTCACGCAGTCACGAACACCTTAGGTTGTCTGTGTAACAAAGGCTATTTTCAGTTGTGATTTGCGTGACGTTCAATACCCTTTTGTTATGTTTTGTGTGACATACCTTCGAATTGTCGGCATTATGTTTCATTCGGCCACGAGACGCGGGTTAGTTGCAAGCATAACCAGATCGAAGGATTGTCGAAATACAAGAATAATTTAACGGGGAAAGAAGTATGTCATCTTATTTATTCTTGTATTTATAAACCGAAACGCGTCTAATCAAAGGTAGTTTTGTTTCGCTTTAGATATTTGTGTTGTTTTGATTTATCTATATGCACGCCCCGCGTGTTCGAGTTCAGGACATTTCGATTAGCGTTTCTTGTATGGTAATGGCCTATTTTAATTTATTGTATTTCAGTTTTCACGAGCTTTCCAGTGATTAATAAACCAGTTGAGACTGATAGACGCTTGGAGGTTCTGTCAAAATAAGACATTTCCTCGACGTGGCGTTGTTCAAGTTTGATTTGATTTATGTTAGCGTCCGCCCCATTACAGTCTGTCTGCGGCTCATTTCGCTTTTTTTTCAGACTTCACAAAGTAGTTGTTAATAAAAGGAAACACTCTAGTCTAGTCCGATGCATATTTTAAATGCTGACGTTCTCAGTTCGATCCTCTTTTCCTGATGCAAATCAAAATTAGCTAACATTATTAGTACAGAAAAACTGTTCGTATGCTTACAATTTGCTTACATTGGCAGATTTTTTTTTAAAACACAGATTGACCAACTTCCCGAGGAAATGTACTCTATGGCGCTGGCAAAAAACTCCTTGGATGATGCTGTTGATCTTGCGAGGACAACAAGAGCCATGAATATCAGCACAACATTAAAACATTGGTAAGAGACTGGTGATTATTACCGCCGGATGGGAAGGGGGTTAAATTTACCAGATCCCCCCATAAGGCTTTTTTGATATTCCTCACTGGCTGTTGAATGGCAGTTTATTTTCTTTAGTCCCCTCTATACTGTGTTTGCGACCACTGATCCCCTTTCCATTCCCCTTGCAAACATTGTGATTCCCCCCAGTAATACTCCTCTCCTTCCCTAGGCGATAGAGGGGTGGGGGGGGGGGGTGGGGGTTACTGGTCCCTTAGGAGTACACTTACTATTCCCAAAAACCTGGGGATGTCAGCCGGGATAACAAGCACTCTATTACAGTACTGCAGAGTAGGAAAAAAATCCTGGTCATGGAAGCTTACTTGTGGGAGCCTCATGTGTTGTCAGTTGTTTCTTTATTGGCACCATTTAAGGTCAAAGACTAAAGTCACAATGTTATGTATCTGACACAGACAAGCCAGGTGCACCCTTTGAAATCCATTCAATCTCTCTCAACTATTGAGCTGAATTCTGAAAAATAAAGATTCATTCCTGATCTTCTATACCATCCATAATACAACTGATGGGTAACAATCAGAATCCTCTCTTTCCCCTGTTTCTGCACAAGTTATGAGAATACATAGTACTGCGATAACTCGTTTTGATAACCTAAATCG